CCTTCCCCTTCCCCCTACCACGACTAATTATCCCGATAAATTTTTTTTTAAACGTTTTTTGTGGGAATTTTTTCTTTCTATTTCGATTTGTGTGATGATTGAGTGTTTAAAATATAATAATAATAATAATAATAATAATAATAATAATAATTACAAAAGTAATTTAAAAAACGAAAAATTTTTCTAGTGACACGTTGTACCGTTAAAGTAATAATTTACAAAAACGTACATGTATATAAATATATTAAATGGAAAAAGAAAACAGGAATTAAGTGAGGGGAAGGTGGGGAGGGGTAGAAAGGGAGGGGAGACGGGGTTCAGTGCTTGGAATTTAAAAAAAAGGGAAAAAGTTTATAAAGTTTATATGGTGACACACACACACACACACACATACCTTTCGTGTCTAATTTAATTTTTTTCTTCCATGATGGTACAAGTTTGTCCTTTACGACGTTTTACTTCTTCTTTTTCTCCTCCATTTTATTAAAATCAATACTTTAGATTTTTTTCCTGTTGTTTTAGAGGGAATGTATTTCTGTTCACATCGGTCAAGCCGGAGTTCAAATTGGAAATGCCTGTTGGGAATTGTATTGTTTGGAACATGGAATACAACCTGATGGTCAAATGCCATCGGATAAAACCATCGGAGGCGGCGATGATAGTTTCAATACGTTTTTCAGCGAAACTGGAGCTGGAAAACACGTACCCAGAGCTGTTTTCGTGGATTTGGAACCGACCGTTGTCGATGAAGTTCGTACCGGAACCTACAGGCAATTGTTTCATCCGGAACAGTTGATCACTGGAAAAGAAGATGCTGCCAATAATTATGCTCGCGGACATTATACCATAGGTTAAATCTATTATTATTATTATCATTTCAAATGTGAAAAGTTGCACTTAACTTATTTATTATTATTATCATTAACAGGGAAAGAAATCGTCGATATTGTTCTTGACCGTGTGAGAAAATTAGCAGATCAATGTACGGGTCTTCAAGGATTTTTGGTTTTTCATTCTTTCGGCGGTGGCACAGGTTCAGGTTTTACGTCACTCCTAATGGAAAGACTTTCGGTCGATTATGGTAAAAAAAGTAAATTGGAATTTTCTATTTATCCCGCTCCCCAGGTAAAATTCGTTTTAAAATGGCGACCCACCGAGGTGAGGTTTTTACGATTTACTCACTTGAAATTTTCTATTCGCAGGTATCAACTGCTGTCGTCGAGCCTTACAATTCGATTTTGACGACTCACACAACTCTCGAACATTCAGATTGTGCCTTCATGGTCGATAACGAAGCCATTTACGACATATGCAGAAGAAATTTGGATATCGAAAGACCGACTTATACTAATTTAAACAGACTCATTGGTAAAATATTAACCTTTTTAAGAAAAGTGATACCGTAAGAGTCGGCTAATTGGGTTTTGTACCTTGCAGGGCAAATTGTTTCATCCATAACGGCTTCTTTAAGGTTCGACGGAGCACTCAACGTCGACCTGACAGAATTTCAAACGAATTTGGTACCTTATCCGAGAATTCATTTTCCTCTCGCGACATACGCTCCCGTTATCAGTGCCGAAAAAGCTTATCACGAACAACTCACCGTTGCGGAAATCACAAATGCTTGTTTCGAACCTGCCAATCAAATGGTAAAATGCGATCCGAGACACGGGAAATACATGGCATGCTGCATGCTGTACAGGTATGGTATAAACTAGTGGATGTTGTACGATTTTAACCTTTGACCTAAAATAATTTAATTTTTTTGTTACAGAGGAGATGTCGTACCGAAAGATGTCAATGCGGCAATTGCAACAATCAAGACTAAGAGAACGATACAATTTGTAGACTGGTGTCCAACCGGTTTTAAGGTTTGTAAACCTGAAAAAGAAAACAAACAAACACGTCAGAATTAACGGAAATTGAATTTAAAAAAATTTGATTTAGGTTGGAATCAATTATCAGCCACCGACGGTAGTTCCAGGAGGTGATTTGGCCAAAGTCCAAAGAGCCGTTTGCATGTTGTCTAATACCACGGCTATTGCTGAAGCTTGGGCTCGTCTCGATCACAAATTCGATTTGATGTATGCCAAACGTGCTTTCGTACACTGGTAAGCTGTGATTATTTTTATCCATTGAACCCTTTCCAAAAAGTCTCACGTTTGATCCATAAATATTTTTAAAAACTGTTAATAATAATAATAATAATGTGATTTTTTTTGTCTCAGGTACGTCGGTGAAGGAATGGAAGAAGGAGAATTTTCCGAAGCAAGAGAAGATTTGGCTGCATTGGAAAAAGACTACGAAGAAGTTGGTATTGATTCCGTTGAAGAAGTCGGGGAAGGAGACGAATATTAAATGAAACAAATTTTAATAAAAAAAATATTTTTTGGATAAAATGCCATTTTACCTTTTTCTTTTTTTTTACTCATAATAATTTATTTTAACATTTTTACACTTGATTATTATTATTATTATTATTATTTCGCAAATTTAACGAAGTGTCGGTCATAACAGCTGATTTAATCGTTAATTAAATACTAATTAAATTTTTTTTTGTTAATTTATTAATAATAATAATGATTTTTTTTATGTAACGTTTATATTAATAATAATTTCATTAAATAAATAAATTTTTTTTTTTAACGTTAAATTTTGATTGAATTTTTTTTTTATACCTTCATATCATCTTCAAACTTTTTCGTGGCATTAGACTCTAAAATCATTTTCATATATATATAATAATGAAATCGAGCATAATTTTCATATATGTTCGCCTTATAATCTGAAAAACTTGTTAAATTTTTTTTAAAAAAAGGAATTTTAGAAAACTACCATTTTAAAATAACATTACAATTTTATTCGTGAGTAAAAATAAAATTAATATTTTAAAATTATTTTTTTATAAATAAAATAAACACAAAATAAAACGAAAATCATAATTAAAAAAAAAAAAAAAAAGATTCGCGTTGTCTATCATTAAATCAAACTTGTTATTAAATTATTTGTGTACTTTATTAAAATACACAATTTAGGTACTAAAAATAAAAATAAAAAAAAATTTTCAACGTAAAACAAATAAAAACGTTATGTTGTCTCCTCTCCCCCAGTTTAAATTTAATTAAAACTTAAATTTACGGGATTTTCCGGTTCCGCCCAATGGTGGAAAATCTTCCTTCGGTAAATTCAAATTTTCTTTTGACCGTTTATTTTCCCAAACTAGAAAAAAAAAAAAAAAACAAGAATTAATATTTCCATCATTTTTAATTACTTTTCTTTTAATGTTAATAATTTTACATTTATCGTTACTCATAGGCATTGCCTCTTTGTAAACCTCATCACCATTATCGCTAACATTTGACTTTGATAAACTTGTTTCATTTTTCTCTTTTAACCATTTTGGAATTTTTCTTTCCTCTTTAAAAACAATGTCATCTTTGTCAGATTGAGTTTTAACCTAAATTTAAGTTACCATTATTTAAAAATTAAAAACAAGCAGATAAACTTGACAGCCATTAAAAAAAGTATTCATTTATGTATATTTTGAAACATTGATTACGATTACTCACATGAGAAGAAATTTTTTGTTTATTTTTAATCATCTTACAGGTTTCATTGCTTTTCAAATCACAATTTAACCTAATGTGTTTTCCAGGTATGAGTTTGACATTAATATACTGACAACAGTGATCGCAAATAACATAAACATATCGTTGAACAATTGATAAACTGCAATTTTGATATTTCTCTTCCATGTTGCCATGAAACTAATATGAAAAGCATCCAATTTTTTTTTTTTTTTATAAACATTAAAAGTATTGTTTGCTGTATATTTACTTACATCACAAGAAAGATTAGTCACATAACAGAAAATGTCTTTTTCAAGCTCAACAATTGCATTCGATAACAATGGAAAACCTAAAGAAATCCCCGGACATTCTACGACAAACTCGGCACATTTATTTTTCAAATGAAAAAATAATTTGTGCATCGGATATATTTTAAAATTGACATTTTTATTAACTGAATTTTTTGTCAGTGTTGTAATCACACTTTTTGTCGCTTGCAAATTGTTTTCAAGGCAGTACAAAGGAGGAAAATCATGCTAAAAAGTTTCAATTTAATTTAAAAAAAAAATAACAATGAACTTTTGCAGTGGAAAAAAAAACTTACTTGTAAAAAATTTAAAATTTCTTTACTTATGCAATAATAACTTGAATTCCCTTCAGAATATGGCGGATATGGTAACTTATGAATTTCGTTTATATTTTTCTTAGTTTCGAATGCATAACCCAATGGTATTTTGTCTAGTTTGATAAAATGAAAGGTATGTATGTAATAATTATAAAGTAATTGAAATTTATTATTATTATTATTATTTTTAAATACCTGGACTGATTAAAGTGTGGTAAGAATCGATAATACCACTGCCTAAACTAAATTTACTTATTGCTAATTCTGCAGGAACATAAACGCCATCATCAGTCTTACAGTAATAATTACAATGAATCAAATAAAAAATCTGAGTTTCGACTGCAAATAAATAAAAATAATAATTACTTTAAAATTGCAAGTTTCGACAAGTAGTTTAATAATAATTAATATTTTTATACTCACTGGTACCACCATTTAAATTAAATACTGTTCTTTTTATTTCATTATCAGCATCTTCTTCTTCCTTTTTAAGCATAAATTCCTGTTGTTTTACTTCACTAAAACTTGTTCCTAAATTCGTAAATTTCTTATCATCGTTAATTTTATTTATCTTGTATTCACTTGCCAAATTTTTATATCTTTCTTTTTCTTCTAATGACAGATTCTAGAAATTATGTAAAAATATCAAGTAAAAGATTTTCTTATGTAAAAATAAATAAACAAAAAAAAAAAGAAAAAAAAGTACCTTCCATAAAGATGCACATTCTTCGGCGCCCTGTTTATGTGTTATGTGGTTTCCTTTATCCCGTTGATTTTGAACGTAATCATCCAAAAAAAAAGAAAAAGCATTTTTAGGTGATTTCTTTTTTTTACCCATTATGATTATTTAATGATTTTTATATTTAAGCTTGTTTGAAAAAAAAAAATAAAAAAAAAAACAAATATCACTTCGGACGTTACAAAAATTATGAATGCCAACGCTCGTAGCGGAATAATTTTAAATCGATTCAGTTACAATGGCGTGTATCAATTTAAATACTTTTAGATTTTCGAAACAAATTTTTTTTACAATTTTTTATATTTTAAAATAATAGGTCAAAATGAATAATTAATTTATTAATTTTAGTTTTTGTGAAATGAAAAATAAATTAATTAAAAAAAAACTTTAAGTTGCAAAAGTAGTTTCCGGTTTTTGTAACGCCATCCGCTTACCGTGAGGTTCGCTACTCATTATTATTGTTAAGTAAGCTACTTTGCCGGCAAGTTTTTTAAAACTTATTTATAAAATCAGTTTGAAACAAATAATTGAAATGTTTTAACAAAGAGTGTTCTAAACGAATTTGTCAAATTTATTGTCAAGGAAAGATGTAAGTTCTTTTTAATGAATCTTTTACGTTGAAAAAAAATTTACATTTGTCCTCTTAGAGGGAACAATTTACAAAATGGAGGTTTATTGCTAGTATAACTTCAAAAATTATCTTACTAAAGTCGTTGTTTGACAATTATTATTATCATTTTTCATTAAAAATTAAAGTGTATACTCTTTTTAATTAATTGAAAATCATTTCCTATGATCAATTAAAAAAACTAAAGAAATAAATTATTATTGTTTGCTTTATTTTGTCAATAACTCTCTTTTTTATTTGAAGAGTGATTTAAAAATAAATTAAAATAAAAGATTGGTAATGGAAATTTCTCACAAGGCGGAAATAGTTCCTGGTTCTGAACCTTCTGCAGAAGGATTTTCATCTAGCAAAAGAGGAGGATTTAGAAGTAGAGGTGGTCCTATGAGAGGAGGACCTCCAAGAGGTAGAGGAGGTCCTGGGGGTTTTCCTACTCGAGGTGGACCTCCCATGAAAGGTCCAATAATAGGAAGAGGTGGTTTACCTGGAAGAGGTACTTTAAGGCTTGTTTCTCCTAGTGGATTTATGATGTGCGGAAGAGGTGGACCTCCTGGTAGAGGTAATCCTATTAGAGGGGAAGGAAGAGGTGGAATGTTTAGAGGTACCATTTTTATTAAAATATAAAATTATTGATGGTTTAATTATTATAAAAATTATTTTATTAAAAATTGAAATTTAAATTTTAGGTAGAGGTAGTCGTGGAGGACCAGCAGGTAGAATTGGACCTCCTGGAGGTTTACCTAGAGGTTTTGGCGCTTCACCTCGACCAGGAGGACCACCTAGAGGTCCCCTTGGAGGGCCCCCTATTCGAGGAGGCCTTAACAGGCCCCTAAGAGCAGCACCGCCACAATCTCAACAACCAGGTAGGAAAATATCTTGCATCAATAAACTTTATTATTTTATATTGATGATGATTTTCTCACGATGGTCTTCTGAGTTTAATATGAACGACACATTTAACAAACTGATTTAAGTCTGCTTTATTTAGCTTAATATAAATTTGAAAAAAGTATTACATTAATGACTGTTTTTTAGTTCCTTTGGGAGGACTTCCAGAAAGATTTCCTGCTCTTGGAATGTCTGGAGTGCCACCTAAGAGAGGATTGCCTCAACCCTCTGGGCCAATACAAGGCCCTGGACCTGGGCCTGCAGGAATTATTAAAAGGCCTAGGTATGAATCTCCAGGATATTCAAATGGTTATCCAACTTCTCAAAGGTATATAATATTTTTTTAGTGAAATAAATTTTAACTATTTTATTTGAAACAACAATTTTTTAAATAGCTTTCATTATTTATTTAAAAAAAAAAAAAAAAAACAATAGAAAGTCGAAAACCATCTTTTGGTAATATTACAATAAAACTAAATAGAAATATAAGGAATTAATAATGATATCTTTATTTATTTATTTTGTTTTTCAGTTCTTACTCTAGTTCTTCTCAACTAGATAATTATTCACCTCAAAATGTATCATATGGGTGAGTTTTTTTATTATTATTATTATTTTTTGATAAGTATTTTTAATTATATTTTATTGCAGTTAATGAGTTTAAATACTAAAATTAAGATTTTTTAATAGAAATAGTAATTCTGCCTATGGAAGTGGAAGTCAATATGCTTCACCATATAACTCCTACACTCAATCGTGTAACAACACTGGAGCGTACCAAACAGGAGGTGGAGTGTATTCGTCAAACTATTCTACTCAAGCAGGATATGAATCAGCAAATGAATATTCACACAGTGAGTTTTAACCTATATTACATAAATTTAAAGTGTCAGGCTCCTTTTTATAAAAGCCAGTTCTTTATAATGTTGAGATTTACTCCCAGTTGCTGGAGAAGCTGACACAGGTCTTCCTTCGTAGGAAATACTCCTGGAATGATCGAGTGCTCTGAGTATTCGAGGTTGCACAAAAGCCCATGCTCCTTGATTTTTATGCTCTTCTTGTACCCAAAGCAATTTTGCATTTTGATATTTATCGCATTCGTTTTTTACTAGGTCAAAAGGGAACGGCGATATTTGTTCTAGTCTACTTATAGCTATTTCGGAATTTAATTTTTGATCATTCCTTTCTTTTAGCAAATCATAATAAACTTTTCCTGAACACAATATTAGTTTTTTGACATTAGAAGGATTTTTGGAAGCTTCACTCGTATCAGAAATCATTCTTTGAAATGATGTTCCCGGTAACATTTCATCGAAACTGCTTCTTGCGTCAGGGTGTCGCAACAATGATTTCGGAGACATAACTATTAAAGGTTTTCGAAAATTTAGGAGAATTTGCCGCCTTAATGCATGGAAATAATTTGCAGGAGTTGTTATATTCACTACTATCCAGTTACATTTAAATATTTGTTTTACATCCGAATTAGGTTCGGTGGGTGGAAATTCTTCTTCGTCCTCTTCAGACATTTGCAAAAATCGCTCTAATCTTGCGCTAGAATGCTCTGGTCCCATTCCTTCCATACCGTGTGGTTGAAGCATAACTAATCCTGACTGCCTTACCCATTTTGTTTGTCCGGAACTAATAAATTGATCAATAACACATTGTGCAGTATTGTTAAAATCTCCAAATTGTGCTTCCCACAAAATCAAAGCGTTAGGGTTTGTCATGGAATATCCTAATTCGAATCCCAAAACTGCATATTCTGAAAGACTGGAATTGCAAACGGTGTAATTTGCCTGATCCGGGTATAAGTGAGTTAAAGGAGAATATGTCGTCAGATCAATGTCCTGATGATGAAGTATGTGATGTCTGTGTGAAAACGTGCCTCGTTCGACATCTTGTCCCGATAATCGGACGTGAATCCCTTCTTTCAATAGCGATCCGAAGGCTAAACCTTCTCCCAAGGCCCAGTCCACAGAGCGACTGTTAATAAAATCCATTCTTAATTTTAATACTCTATCTAAACCTTTGTGCAAAACAAAGTCTAATTCTTTCGGCGGAGGGTTGGAAAGTGTTTTACCAATGTGTAATAATGTTTCTTCATTCACCCCCGTAGATTTCAATTCGTAGGGATCCTTTCCATGGAAAAAACCCGTCCACGGAGAATCCAACCAGTCCAAATATCTAATTGTAGTGATTGATTTTGCTTTAGAAAATGCTTCTTCGCAAATATTTTCATAAGTTTGCTTTATGTTTTTAATTTCATCCTGCGACATCACGCCTTCCTTCACCAATTTTTCAGCATATAAATCGACAATTGGTTTTCTTTGCTTAATTTTTTTGTACATGAGGGGCTGAGTGAACATGGGTTCATCTATTTCGTTGTGTCCGTTTCTCCGGTAACCGACCAAATCGATCACGACGTCTTTACCATACTTGGCTCTGTAGTCGGCTGCTAACGTGCAAGCGAATATTACTTTTTCTGGATCGTCGGCGTTAACGTGAAAAATTGGCGCGTCTACCACACGTGCCACGTCCGTGCAATAATTGGACGATCTCGAAAATCGCGGATCGGTTGTAAATCCAATTTGATTATTTACCACTATATGAATCGTACCGTGACAAGTGTATTCTGGTAAATTAGATAAATGAAATGTTTCGTACACGACACCCTGTCCCGCGAATGCTGCATCTCCGTGCAAAAGCATGGACATAACTTTTTTTCCTTCTGCGTCTCCGCGGTAGAATTGTTCGGCTCTGCATTTTCCTTGAACGACCGGATTAACGGCTTCCAAATGACTTGGATTGGCGCAAATGGATAAACGAATCGTTTTATTCGTCTGACGATTTAATCTTTTGACATAGGTACCCAAATGATATTTCACATCTCCGGAACCTTCGTCTTCGGCATCCAATCCGGCAAATTGAGTAAATATTTGTTCTAAAGGTTTTCGGCAAACGTTTGCCAAAACGTTTAATCTTCCCCTGTGAGGCATTCCCATAATAATGGAATCCACTCCATACTCGCTAGATCTGTCGATGATGGTTTTCATGGCGGGTATGAGTATATCGCAACCCTCTAGTCCAAACCTTTTTTCACTCGACCATTTTTTGGCGAGAAAATTTTCAAAACCCGTGGATCTCACCAAACGTTTCAAAATGAGTTTTTTTTTTTCAACGGGCATGTCCATGTTTCCCGGACTCTCTAACTTTTCCCTTATCCAATTGGTTACATCTAAAGATTCCAGGTACATGAATTCCGATCCAAGCGTTTGACAGTAAATATTTTCCAACCTCCTTATTATTTCCTTGAACGGAAGAGTTTTTTCATTTTCTTTTCCAATGAACGTCGTCGGCGGCAAGTAACATTCTCTGTTCATGTCATTTTGCCAGTTTTCGGACAAATAAGTTCTGACAACTTTTTGATCGGGTTTCCCTTGCCTATCGTAAAACAATGATGTATTTCCAAATTTTATTTGAAGGGGATCCAAATCGGCTACCAAATGACCTCTGGCTTGGTAACTACGAATAACTAATTGTACGGCAAAATGAAGTTTAATGTCGTCGGGTGAAATGGGAGCGGCGGAAGTGGGAGCGCGTGTCGTTTGCTTAATCGAAGGAGTTAAATCAATGGAAATTTCGTTGGGTTTATCGGAACCCAAAGTGGGAGGACTTTGATACGAACTCACCCCTTTTGTCAAGTTTTTAAAATAAACGTCCCAGGACACGTGTACCGATTTGGGATTTTCTTTCCAGGCATTGTACATTTCTTCTATGTACGTACTCGATGATCCGCTCAAAAAGGATTCTTTTGCCTTGGAGTAAAATCGAATCCATTGGAATCGACTGACACATACACGTTTCATGCCACATAAATTTTTAAATTTAAAAAAAAATTTTTGTTTACAAAATTTTAGAAAAAAAATTTTTTTTTAAAAAAAGATTTTTAAATCTCGCATTTAATAATTTTCAAATTTCAAATCATTTAATTAATTCTGGAATCACGTTTGTTACTGTTTTTATTTTTTTTTAGTCTTCCCGACGATGATAAAAATTTTATTTATTAAAATTCGGTGATAACGCGAGTGTTTACACACAAAAATAAATTATTATTATTATTATTTTTTTTTTCAGGCGGTTATTCCGCAACCGGAAATGACGACAGGTATTCAAATCAATATTCGAGCCAGGATTATTTGTCTTACTTTAAGCCAACGAGTGAGTATTAAACCAACAGCAAGTATTTTGCATTACGTAAATGCATAGAGTACAATTTTCAATTTTTCCATTGATTTTAAAAAAAATTTCCTTTGAGAAAAAAAAAAAAAAAAAAAAAAATGAAAAATTTTTAGATTCAGATCCTTACGCGTACGGTGGAGGTCCCACAGCATATTCGGCACCTCAAAACAGTTACGACGACAGAAGTTACGGGGGTGGTGGTGGAGGAGGAGGAAACGCATACGGTAAGATGTGTGATAAATTGTTCAGAAAATGAAAAAAAAAATAATAATAATGCTAATACATTTTTTTTTTTTTTTTTTGTTCAATCTACGCGTATGGTTTTGCGTGGGCGTGCAGATTCCAATCCGATTTACGGCACGAGTTCAGCTGCTTATTCGACAAAACCCGAGTATGGTAAGTACCCGAGGTATTAAAATTGAAAATGATCGCGACAAGGGATGGAAAGAGAGAGATAGAGATAGATAGAGAGAGAGAGAGAGAGAGAGAGAGAAAAAAACCGTTTTCTCAGGGCAAAGTAACAAAATGTAAAAAAAAAAAAAAAAAAAAAAATTTAAATTATTATTGTTTCCCGGAAAGAGTTAAAAATTATTAAAAAGCAATGTCAATAGGTTTAGTAGGTATAACAGGTTCACAGGTACGCATTGTAAATTTTCTTCTTAGTAATTATGTGTAAAATTTTAATGAAAAAAAAAGCTCAATCGATGTTTTTTACATATATATTTATATATATATTATATACTAATAATATTTGTGTAGGTTTTATTTCATTAAAGCTCTCGGGTACTCATCAATTTTGTCACTTCCGGTTTTAAAAGAAAAGAAAATTATATTTCGAAACAGTATTTTTTACGCGGGGGGGGCGGGGGGCGGGGGGTTAGAACAAAAATTAAATTACATTTTGTTTGTATTTTGCTTTATAATCAAATATGATGAATGAATATCAAATAAATTATTGATTAAAAACTCGATAAATCGATAGATCGATATATCGATCGATTTTAAACACACACAAACACGCGGAAAATTTTTTAATTGCGAGACACAAGCGACAAGTTTTTTGGTTTTTTTTTTTTTTTTTTACACAAAAATGGGAGAGAATGAAAACGACGAGACGTGAATGAATGACGTTCTCGTTCGTTAATCAATCAATCAATCAGTCAGTCAGTCAGTCAATACTAGAATGAAATCCTTACGTGATGATCAACATCAATTATGTACAATATGCGGTGAAAATGATAAAATAATAGTAATAATAATATTTTCAACGATTGTATCGGGTGGTAGGATTTTCACGGGAATCGGGGAGTAGGGAAAAGGGGTCGGCGCCATATTTGGCATCGTTGACTTATAATAATGATGACGAAAAATGGAAGGTTTTGCTCAAAATTTAAATTCTGACAATTTACATATAAAAAAAAATATGAAGGAAAATTTTTTATCACGATGTATACCAAGACAATCTACTCGTAGGTTATTATTATTATTATTATTTTTTCTTTTTGTTTACTTTTTATAAACGATTTATTATTATTATTATTATTATTATTATTATTATTATTATTATTATTATTATTATTATTATTATTATTATTATTATTATTATTATTATTATTATTATTATTATTACTATGACTATTTTATAAATAAACATAAAAAAGTTCAATTTAACGGGGGAGGGTGGGGGAGGGGGGAAATTTCGAGGAAAGTTTTTCTTTTCTTTTCTTTTTTGATTGATTGATAAGAGAATTTGGTTTTTTTTTTTTTTTTATTTATTTCAATTGTGATGATGATGATGATGATGATAAGAATAATAATAATAATAATGTAAATATTTTGTGTAAACTAAAAAAAAAAAAGTCGGGAGAAGGGAGAGGAGAAGGAGGAGGGGAATAGAGTTATATGTATTTGGGAAAAACATATTATATACATATATGTATGTATGTTTATTATGATTTATTTAATAAATTTTTATTAATTATGTAGGAAAAAAAAGAAAAAGGAAAATTATTAAAGTCAATAAAAAAAAAAAATTTAATAACGCGAATGATTAACGATTGTGATATTTTATTATTATTATTATTATTATTATTATTATTATTACTTTTCTAAATTTTAAAAAATTTGTTTCGTGGTAATTTTTTTTTTTTTTTTTTTTTTATTACTATTAATTAAATGTTATTAAATTCGATAAGTGAGGACACACATAATACATACATAATATTAATAATATTTACACGCGTATTAATAAATGCATACATACGCACGTGCATAAGTTTTTATTTTTATTTTATTATTATTATTATTATTATTATCTTGTGTATGTATGTACTTATAACGAAGTGGGAAGTAATAATAAAATTAATTTAAAAAAAACGAACAAAAATTAAAAATAAAAATTTTTTTTTTGTCAAGACCATCTTAAAAATAAATTAATAAATCAAAATGTAATAATAATAATTATTATTATCATTAAGGATGAAAATTTAAATAATTTCCGTTTCGACAAGTACAACAAAAACAAAAACTGTAAATAATAAATAAATAAATAAATAAATAAATAAATAAAGAGGAAAAAATTAAGAGATTATACCATATATATATATATATAGTTTGTTCGTGTGTTTGTTTTTTTTTTTCAGTCAATTTTTGTTGTTTTTTTTTTTTTAAATTAAATAAATTAAATTTAAATTTAAATTAAATAATAAATAAATAAAAGTAAATTAAGAATAATTAAAATTAAATTAAAATTTTTTTTTTTTTTATTAAATGACGTTGAATTTTTTTTTTTTTTTTTTGTGTTTTTTTGAATTTTTTTATTTTTATTTTTATTTTTGCTAGTATAAATTATTAAAAATATATTTTTTAAAAAAATTAATAAATAAAAAACAGTAATTAATTAATAATAAATGAATAAATAAATAAATAAAAAATTAAATGTGAAATTTTTAAATAAATTTATGTGTAAATAAATAAAAATAAATAAAAAAAAAAATTTTTTTTTGGTGACATTGATTATGTTCAATTATTAATTAGTTTTTAGTTAATTAATTTTCTTTTAAATTTTTTATTATTATTATTATTATCACTATTATTATTATTAATAATATTTTCTTTTAAATATATAATGATCATTTTAATAAAAATTTAAAATTTTATTTAAAAAAAAAAATATAAATACATAAAAACATTTCATTATTTAATTAAAACAAACATCCTTTTTTTTAATATATATAATAATTAATATTAATATTATTATTATTATTATTATTCAAAATTCAAATTTATATATTAAAAAATAAATAAAATGAAAAAAAGGGAAAAAAATTTTTTTTTAATTTGTATTTTAAAAATTATGGTTTTAATGAAAAAAAAAGAGAGAGAGAGAGAGAGAGAGAGAGAGAGATAAAAAATTATTTTATTTATTTATAATAATTTAAAAAATAAATAAATTTATGTATAGTTATGTATCGATATTTAAAAAAATATTAAAAAAAAGCTATAATTTTTTATTTTATATTATACATAATAAAATTTTTACGAACCGAAAACTAAACAAAAAATAAATAAATAAATAAATGAATTTTAATATAAATAAATAAATATATAAATATTTCCAAGACAATAATATATATATATATATATATATAAATTGTTCAAAAAAAAGAGAGAGAGAGAAAGAAAGAAAAATTAAAATTTTTAAATAAATAAAAATCCTTTAAATTCAAATTAAATAAGTTATTATTAATAAATAAATAAAAAATAAATACATAAATTTTAAAATTAAGAAAATAAATAAATAAAAACAAATAATTGGTCTTGACAGTAAGTAAATATAAACAAAAAAAAATTAAAAAAACAGAAAA